AGAAGGAGGAAGAGGTCCTTCGAGTAATCCGAGAAAGAAGGGCGACGGATGGACATCGGATACCAGATGAGGTAGCTGACACAATGAAGATAGGGGTAGACGGGTTCTTAACGGAAGAGGAAACCCGCCTGATCAAGAGGACCTGTCAAGAGTTTCACCTGGCATTTGCCTTTAGTGATCACCAGAAGGGACGATTGGATGCGAGGCTGATCCCTCCGGTCATAATCCACACGGTAGAACATGAGTGCTGGAATTACAAGGGGCCGTCCTATGAATTTGGGATAGCAGAGGAAGTGACAGATCTCCTTCGCGCAAAAATGGACTCCTTCGTTGCGGATCCTACGGCGTCGCCATACGCAAACCGGTGGTTCGTCTTTCGAAAGCCTAACAAGATCCTAAGGTGGATTCAGGATCTGCAGAAGTTGAATGCGGTAACCATCCAGGATGCTGGCTCGCTACCTTAGGCTGACTTATTAGCAGAATCGCACGCCGGTCGGAGCATTTACTCCCTGATAGATCTGTACTCAGGGTACGATCAACTTTCGTTGGATGTTCGAGACAGGCCGTACACCGCCATGCACACCCCCGTACGCCAACTACAGATGCAAGTGACCCCTATGGGATTCACAAACGCGGTGACCGAAGCGCAAAGCAGAATGCACGCCGTGGCCGGGGAGATGTTTCCAGAAAAGTGTAAGCCCTATATCGACGACAATCCGATCAAAGGTGCGCAGGAGAAGGACGAGACAGAAGTCCAACCAGGAATCCGAAAGTTTGTATGGGACCATATCCAGGACATCGAGGACTTGATCCGTCGGTTCCTAGTACACAACATCACGGCTAGTGGACCAAAGAGTATTCTAGCAGTACCAGAAGTAACCATATTAGGATTTCGGTGCGGTGCTTACGGTAGGAAGCCGGATCCGGCGAAAACGGATAAGATATCGCAGTGGCGAACCCCCCAGCGCACTACAACGGAAGTGAGAGCATTCCTAGGCGTGGTAAGTTTCTGGAGGATCTTCATTAAGAATTTTGCCAAGATTGCGGAGCCTATCCGGACTATGATCAGGGAGGAAGGAACCATAGATTGGACGAAGGAGCGAGAAGGAGCAGTCCAGAAGCTTAAGGATATATTGACATCTGAGACAGTCGCCCTGTCCGCACCTTGTTTTAATGACGAAGTAGGATGACCCTTCATCCTAGAGACGGATGGAGGACCTTTAGCCGTAGGGGGCGTGTTGATTCAAAGGGATGAGGGAGGAAAATGCCGATTAGGTTCGAAAGTAGAACCCTGAACTCCGCAGAGCGGGGGTACTCGCAGTTCAAAAAGGAGGTCCTAGCCATCTTGCACTGCCTTAATTCTTTCAGGCCTACCTATTTGGGAGGCGGTTCATCCTTAGGATCGATCCAAGGAATGTTGCAGGGGCCCTAAAGAATTACAGGCCTATAGACCCGACGGTGGGGAGATGGGTAGGATTTATCTGGCAGTTCGATTACAAAATCGAACGAATTGCGGGAATTAGGAACAAGGCCGATTGGCTGAGCCAGGTCTGTATCACTCCTAAAGAGGTGGAGGGTGAGGAGCCCATAGACGCATTCCTTGAATACGAAGGAGGGAATCTCGCGGTGGATAACGAAATGATGGGCGAAGAATGCGCGTCGGGAGAACTGTTGATCCGGACTTTGGAGAAGGGGGCACCTGCAGTAGTAGCAGAACTTATAGAAGGACCAGTCACCACTCGAGGTCGCAAAGAGGAGAAAGATTCGTGGGGATCGATGGTAGGACCGAAGGAGGAACTAATAGCAATGGCGGTGGAGGGAGGCCGGGAAGCCGTGATGAGCTTAGTGGAATCTTGGGAAAGGAAAGAGTTGCAATGGGTGGTAAACCAGATGCAGGAAGGAAAGGATGGGGGCCAGGAAGGGGAGGAGTTTTTCTATGTCCAATCATACGAAGGGCTCTTTCGGGAGATCGGACTGTTGCTGGTAGGCAACAAACAACCTACAGAAGTCAGTATTAAAGTAAGAAAAGAAGCCGAAAGATATGTCCTAAGAGGCGGGCATTTGTTCCGAAGGGAGGAAGGTGCTATGCCCAGAAGGACTGTGTGCGGAAAATCTAGGCAAGTAGACGTTATCAAGGCAATGCACGACGGGTTAGCTGGAGGTCATCGGTCGTCCAAAGGAACGCTTGCAAAGATAACGTCACTCTATTATTGGCCAGGCATGGCAGGCATGGTCGCCATATACTGCCAGACTTGCCTTATTTGCCAAGAACGAAGCTCGGTGCAAGTCTTCAAGCCGCTTAGACCAACGCGGGTGCTAGGGTCGGGACATCTAATCCACCTCGACCTTGCGGTCATACCTGTATCAACGGATGGGTACATGTATATACTGGATGCGCGAGACAACTTGAGTGGGTTCGTGGAGGCGGTCGCCCTCAAGAAAAAGACAGGGAGGAGTGTGGCGGACTGGATAGAAGACTTCTACTTGAGGCATCCTTTCGTCAGGAGGTTTATAGTAGACAATGAGACGGAGTTTATGAACCAAGAAGTATTGGGGATGCTTAAGAGACTCCGCGTACCGATCAAACTCATCGAGCCGTATCACCCTGAGGCCAATGCACCTGTGGAAAGGGGGTACCGAACCTTGAAGAACACGATTGCGAAGCTCGCAGCGGACCATCTGGGGAGCTGGCCTAAGTATCTTAAGCAGACTGTTGTTGCGGAGAATATGACCCCTAAAAGGACAACAGGATGTATCCCGGTGGAACTTTGGTACGGAAGAGAGATCGACTTTCCTGTGGAAGTCTTGGTACCTACTTGGAATAGGTTAGATGATGATCCGCAAATGACTACTTAGGAGTTAATCGAGGCAAGATGTCAACAGATCCTTAAGAACGAGGAGGTCATGGAAGACATCGCCAACCGCGTACTAGACAGCAGAATGAGGGACAAAGCAAGGTGAGACCAGGTTAAGAATGTCAGAAAGGAGCCACTTCAAGTGGGAGGGATCGTATTGCTAAGGAACTCGGCACTAGAAAGTACTCGGTCGGGACAACTGGGAAGACGGTTCAAAGGCCCCTGCCGGGACGCCAAGCGGGTGGGACTGAACACCTTCGAACTGGAAGATTTGGATGAAACTGGATTGAAAGGGCCCTTCCCGGGGCAACGATTGGTCAGGTTTCTAAGCCGGGACCCAGTGAAACAATGGCTTCAGGAGGCCGAAGATAAGGAAACTGAGGAGCCACAAGCTAAAGACTGACCACAGCCTTGCCCACACTATGGTTTGTCTCTGACCATGTCCATGGGACTGTCATTTTTTAGGGACTGGGGCAATATCTTGGACTGACTGAGGTTGAAAAGCAGCATGACTTGGGGGTTTGTAATATCTGGCTTGTGTGACGACGAGAAGGGATGTTTGGGGCATTGTACCATAGTTTTTGACGGGAAAAAAATGGGATCTTCACAAACGACGTTTTTGCATAAGGGAGAGAAATGTATAAAAAGGGGCATGATGCGAAGGATACTGGGAGCATTTTTGTGAAAAGGGAGCTGTCTACCGGGGGGGAATGTGTGTATGCGGGGCATTGTGAGTGTTGTTTTGTTATACAGGACCTAGGAGAAAAAATGAAAATGACAAAAAAATGGAATTCGGCAACGAGAACGACAGCGGGGCGATCAACAGGCATACCGGAGGGGAGGAAGCAGGACCAAGCCAAGGGAGGAGGGCGGTGAAGAGAAAGTTGTACATATGACTCATGGGTGGGCCAGTGCTAGGCAGGGGTGGAAGGAAATGCTTGTGTAGAAAACCCTCACCCCTGCGCGGGGGAGAATGTATAGAAATCTCGTCTGAAAGTGAGGGAGGGAAGGAAAAGGCAGAAGTGGAAGAAGGAGGCAATGCAGAGATGGGAGATAAGGTTCAGGCCTCTGACGAGGAAGGAGTCAACAGGGGCAAGCAACGTGAGCATGGGGAAAGCGAGGGGGGACAAGACATGCGCGACAAACATGAGGAGGGTGAGGAAAGAAGGGAAAACCCGCTTGAAGGACGAAGCGGCCACGACAGTTGTGAGGGGTATGGGACGGGGACAGAGATTCCTTTTACCTACGATCCGAAGAACCTTGTAGGTGGGTATAGCCCCATACAGACAGAAGACGAGGAGGACGAGGAGGGGGATGTACGAGAAGTCATAGAAATCAGCAGCGGGGATGAGAGGGATGAGATCTCGAGACCAAGGGAAGAAAGGCGGCCTCCGATGCACCAGTCGGGCGACGGGGCTTTCGGATGGGAGGACGAGTTTGGGCCAACACCTAGTCATTAGTTTCAACAATGAACCAATGTGATCAGGCATGAATGGATTATCAAGACCAGGGAACTAGCGAAGGCGGGCGTGGAAGCTACGCCGCTGGACTTCTTCAGTGAAATTGAATTACAGGAAATTGCAAGAAAGAAGAGAGAAATCGAGACCTACGGCCTGGGGGTTAGGAAGCCTGGCGAGCAACAGGGAGGACAAGGAACTGGGCAAGACGAGGCGCAAGGCAGCAATAGGAATTTGGTGTTGACCTAGCATTGAAAAGGATCGCTGCTTTTCTATCTGCAAAGACATGAGAATGACGAGAACGTGTACAGTATGGGCAAGCTTGCTAAGGATGAAGTAAAAAAAAAAAAAGGCCAGCTAAAGTTGTATCACGATAAGATATAAGATTGTTTTTGAGGCTACTTTTTGGATGAGCTACCTTGGGTACATAAGACAAAGACATGGGATTTTGGATGAGACCAATTGGGAGAGGATGTATTGTGAATTCTGGATGGAATAAGGATTATGTTTTTGAGAAGGGAAAACCTTGAGTACGGATTGACGAGCGAACCATGGCATTGAATGATTGGTCGAGTACAAGAGAGGTTAGGAAACTTATGGGTTAAGGGGAATGAGGAATACTCCTTCCCTAGGAGCCTAATCCAACCGAGTCATGAATTAGTCTGAGAATGGTCAAGATCTGAGTCGTTGGAACGAGTGAAGAAAAAAGGAGGCGCCCCTGTCTCTTGCTATGGTTGAACGGGCGGGTGAGCTAGTGCTGCTTGGGGTCGCGAGCCCCAACTCGAGTGCTAGATGCTAAGTCGGATGTATGCATGGATAGTACATTACTGTGAGAAATGAAATGGATAGTACATTACTGTGAGAAATGGAAGAAAGAGAACAGCACGCAAAAGATGAGATGACCACCTTCTAACCTCCAAAACAGAAATGGGATCCGTAACCTCGAGGCCCACCGCCTCGGGCACTAACATTGAGAATGAAAAGGAATGACCCTAACCATGATGTTGGACTTGAGAATGGAAAGGAATAGCCCTAACCAGGCTGTTCGACTTGAAAATGGAAAAGAACGACCCTAACCAGGTTGTTCGGGAATGGCCCCTGACAAGGGTCATTCCTTTTGAAATAGGCACTGGGGTCCCCTGCATATTTGATTAAGAAAGGTTGATTGAGAATATACTGGAATGAGCAATAAGAGATGGAAAAGGCCGATGGGTCGGTCATTGAAATAGCCAAATGATGGATGGAAGAGATGAAAAAGGCCGATGGGTCGGTCATTGAAATAGCCAATGGGATGAATGGAAGAGATGGAAAAGGCCGGCAGGTCGGTCATTGAAATAGTCAATGAGATGGACGGAAGAGATGGAAAAGGTCGGTAGGTCGGCCACTGAAATACCAAGGGGGCGGAAGAAAGATGTGAATGAGAAGAACAAGATAAAGAAGGCGGAGTCTTAAAGTCGAGAAGGGCAGGGACCGTTGGGACGGTCACAGAGATTGGGTGTTGAGGAATGAAAGAATTGAGGATTGAATGGGCGGAAGGAGCAATCTTGAAAAATGGCTATTGAGAAAATGACCGCCAGACCGACCATGTGGGTGACCTTGTTGATGAGAGGCTGTCGGACCAGCCATGAGAATCGGCCTTGGAAATAGCATGGGATTGAGTGTTTGAAGATTGAATATTGCATTGCATAGTCAGGGGACCCTAGGCAACTTGATGTAAGGCCGTCGGGCCGACCATGAAAATAGCAAGAGATTGAGTTTTCTTTTTTTTATAGTCTCAGGTCTTAACATAAGGGGGATAGCAATGCCTGCATCGCGACCCCAAGACCTCTACCCGTTAAGGGAAAAGTCTCGGCGCGACCTGGTCCTCATAAGAAGGAATAAGGGTTGAAGGACCAAAGCGCCTCTCTCTTTGATTGATGCTGGCCGCCCAGAACTAACCCCGACAACGAGCTCTAGTCGGGGAGTTCAAACTGCGCCTCATGTTGAAACCTAAACGTCAAGGGCGTGGTGACAAACGGGCGAGAGAGCCATTCTTTTTCCTAAGTCTCGTTTTTTCTCCCCAACCACACGCCATGCCGTAGAGGGGCGACACGACCGTTTGGAATGGACCACGACTGCTCGCGTTAAGTTGAGCAGTATTATCCGGAGAGAGGAATCGGGCGTGGTACCGGGTGGAAGCCGCAACCACCATAGGGCGAGTGACACCGCCCTGCCGGATCATTACAACTGTTCCGGGACTAACCGCGAGGTCTTCGTAACTGCACTCGCAGACTAATAGAGAGTCACAACTCTCTTGAAAGGAAGAGGCCGGATCCAAGAAAACACTTCTCGGGAGGAACGATTCGCGAGAAAGCACTTACGACAAGATGGGGTCCTGGGAGGCTTGGACTGGACCTACCTTCCAGATGTGGGGTGGTACCTTAGTGATGGCGCCCGTCTCGTAAGCAGCAAAAGGTCGGACTGGAGTAGGGGATGAGGTGAGTTATCAGCAGGGGGAGGACTGATCACCCTTCCTTTTTGGGGCTGATGGGCCGGCATGCGTCTACTCAGTTGGTGGGCCAACGTCTGCGTACCTCCCAGTGAAAACTAGTCGTGTGATGGGGACATCGCATTTTGAGTGGGGGGAAGGTGTTCCATCTACCGAAAAAAAAAACGTGCAAAAGAAAAGGATACCATGAGTATAAGAATGGATGAGTAATTGACTTTGCGCAGACTTGAGAAAAGGTCTGGCAAGATGTCCAGAAGAAAAGAATAGATAAGTAATTGACTTTGCGCAGACTTGAGAAAATGTCTGGCAAGATGTCCAGAAGAAAAGAATGGATGAGTAATTGACTTTGCGCAGGCTTGAGAAAAGGGATGGCAAGATGTCCAGAAGAAAAGAATGTATGAGTAATTGACTTTGCACAGGCTTGAGAAAAGGCCTAGCAAGATGTCCAGAAGAGAAACGGATGAATAATTGACGTTGCATGAGCTTGAGAAAAGGCCTGACAAGATGTACAGAAGAGAAACAGATGAGTAATTGGCGTGGCATGAGCTTGAGAAAAGGCCTGGCAAGGTGTCCAGCTGAGGAAAAGATGCATGAATGACTCCGCATGGGCTTGAGAAGAGACGTGGCGGGATGTCCATGAGAGAAATGGACGAGTATTTGACCTAGCATGGGCTTGAGAGAAGGTTTGGCAGGATGTTCAGAAAAGAAATATATGAGAAATTGGCTTTGCGTAGACCTAAGAAAAAGTCTCACAAGACACCCCGAAAAGAGATACAGGTATAATGGACTTTGCATGAGTATGAGAGAGGTCTGGCAAGAGGCCAGAAGAAAAATGTGAATAAGAGGACTGATTAACGCGCATTTTAAAGTCTAGATACGAGAAATGACGAATGAGGATGACACACATAAGCTGGGCAAAATGACATGGGAAAAATACATGAGAACTGGCTAAGCATGAGACTGAGGAAAGAATGACAGGAGAACATGGATTGCACGGGCCGAAAAGTAGATTATTTTTACGACTCTAAGAGTAATAAATGAGGCGAAACCAAAATGGTTTCTGCTCGCGAACGTTTTCTCAACGAAATGGGAAGATAGATATGAGATTACGAAGCACTTAAGGGGAGT